CGAATGTGCGCCAATAATTTTCAAATGTCATCGATTAAAACAACATCGAAAAAAATAACGGCAGATGAGGGGGTTTTCAGTCTACGCATATATGCAAAGAAGTGCAACATTTTGACGTTAAAGTTTTTATTTCGTCCGCAGGGGTTTTGCAGAAAAATACATTGTGCGTCTAGCCGCTGGCCTTGCCAGAGGGGCGCTGAGAACATAAAAAGCAGTGCTAAAACTCCTTTCCTCTGTACCCTCTACGCGAAGGGGAGGAGCATAACAACAAGAACAAATCCAACCAGGGAAGCTTGTGTGAATATCTCGAACATACGTTTCAGTCCGTGAATGCGTGTTGTTGTTTAACTGTACCAACGCTAAATTCCGAAAGTCACACATCAGACGGCTATTCGTTGAAAACTTCGGCGCCATGGTCTTTCACTTCTTATTTTCCTGTGCTTTCATTTTTCTGACCGTCAGTGGACAGGCCACGGATGTCGCTCGTTTGGCAGTCTCAAAACAAGTTCTTAACGAGTACATCTTCCAGGGCAAGGAGTTGACAATTTTGTACACGATATACAATCTTCACTCAAGGTAAGTTTGTTAGAGTCCTCGCCGAAGCGTTCTGAGATGTTTCGTACAAGCACTCCTAGTTTATTTTCACGCTTCAACCTCGCATTGAAAAAATGCAGCTTAGGCACTTGCTTATCAGGAAATGTCTCACCTAAATAAATGTCCCGCTGATATTTACTGGTGCTTCACTGCTGTGCAGCTCGCAACGGAGCCCATACCATGTAGTAAAGTAAAGCCTAGCTAGTTATTTTCATAGCTACACTTCCACCTAATGTAAAAGGTTGAAACCTTGGTTCTGTCAAGTGCTCTTCGGTATTCTAGACAGCATTCCTCAGCCTCTCTTCAGTCTCCAGATTGTTTCGTCAAGAAAGAAGAAACGAGGCTAGAAACACGCAAGTCTGCGCATCTCTGCTTTGGGCCTTGGATTAATTTGCAGGTGATTGAGTGGACTGTTGCGATTTCCTCCATTTTTTTTCCTATGCAACTCTCCTCCAACGTTAACCTAATAGCCCTGTAGTTTGCAGCGGTTTCCAGGTCGCTATTCTTGTGTATCGGCCGTTCTCCAATTGTGTGGTCCCTTTTCCTTGTATAAAGATGTCACCTTTTGGTGTCATAGCTTGTGCGCTGCAATAATCCTGCGGGCTATACTGGCTGGAACTCATTTTCTAAATGCTCAACCGCCACGAAGCCCAAACGAGAGCAACCAGACGAATAAGATCGGGTACCCGTACCGAGAGTAATCGTATTACAAGGCGGTGTGCAGATTAAAGCCTACTGCCCTCTACGATAGGGACGTGAGGAGAGTAAGGCGTTTCCCCCAGGCAACAAGCATGTCCATATATATGGAAGCAGAGATGCTACCTTCTTCTGTGAGGTAGGACAGCTTAGAAACGTTCGGCCCTAAAAGCAACGGTTGGTCGTGACCGCCAGCGCATTAACCGACACGGTCGAAATACTTATGAAGGCAGAGTCCGATGCTCATCATCGACAGGATGATGTCAGTGTTTAACACTGATACTCCGCTGCTGTCCGTTGCTTCTGTTCGCAGGTGCACTAGGAGTGAGACACTAATGCCTTACTGCCTACGTTTTCGGGCCAGGCCTGCAGCCAACTGAGTCAATTCAGCCGTAGCACCCTTTCGGTGCCTAGCTGCCATGTCACCAAAAGGAAGCACAAGAGCTGCGGTACTGCCGGGTCACCTAAGCCTAGACAGAGGATCACCATAATCATCATTGTCAGTTGTAATAACCGCGCACTTGTGGTACAGTGCTTGTAGCTGCCTTAATTTAGTTTACCGATGATTTGGGGAGGTGGAGTAGATAGCTGCGCATTGAAGGCGGGGGCTGATAAATTGGTGCGTGAACACTGCATTGTCAGTGGACTGTCGATTGGGGGATTGGGAAGGGATATATGCATTGATGGCGACAGCTTGGATGCACGAGCGCCATTGAGGACGTGACTGGGCCATGTCTCACAATGTCTTTAGCCATTGATGTGGCCCCTCTCAGGGTCCCCATCCAGGAAGACGACAATGACTAGCGCAGCTGAGTTCGCTCGTAATGGCTTCTATACTTGCCAAGTCATTGTCTGACAGCCTCTGGCACTCCTCCACCCTTCACATGGTTGTGCGAAACAAACCCTCTGAGGAAGCCAGTCGACTGGCATACGCGGCACGTGGCCAAGCCACTGCAACCTATGAATGTGATCAGTTCATCTATCGAGGGTGAGTTATTTCTTCCGAATACCAATTGACGTACTTCAGTATTACTGATCCAATGTTCCAGCCAGATTCGAGCAGTGCTCCGAAGACATTAATTGTCAAACGCTGAAAGTCTTTTGAAGTCCTCGGCGCGCAGCGGCCAGGTTTCTGATCCATATAGTAATATGGATCGCCTCGCAGCATTGTAAACTCGATCCTTGACGGACAAGCTGATTTCACGCCTACGCCACAGGTGACGCAGGTTCACAAAAGCTGCTCTGACCTTCCCAATCCGGATGGAAATATCTTTCGCGAGACCACCAGGACTGATACAGCTGCCAAGGTAGAAAAATTTGTCTACTACCTCCATCAGTTCATCCGCAAGCGTGAGGCTAGCGTTCGACCACACCCAGTCTTGCAGTAGCACTTTGTACTTTGCAGGTGTGAAGCCCATACCAAGCCATGAGGCGGAATTATTTAGATTATATAGTATCGTTTGAATTACCACGAGGTCAGATCCATGAGGAGCTATGTCGCCTGCGTATTCGATATCTGTAAGCGGACGCTCCGCGAGCACCTCGACCCCGCAGGTATTAAAGGCTGCTAGTGAGTCTTCCTTTTCTGGTGCGAGATGGCTCATGTAGTTAGAGCGGGAATTTACTGACCGGAAGGTCCGTGGTTCGAACCCGACCTCTGCTTCTTGACTTCCCCTCTCTAGGCTTGGGAAACCTCGTGCTTCCTTCGGGTAGCATCGCTGCTAGGTACCGGAAGGGTGTTACAGCTGAACGATTATTTTAGTGAGTCTTTCGTGATCGTATCAATAAGGAAGTTGAGGAAAGGTGGAAGAGGACAGCCCTGTCTGACACCACTTGATATGGTGAGCCCAGAAGAGGGCTCCCCGTAAACATTCACACTGCCACGGAAGTTGGCGTACAGCGTCTTAAGGAGGGTAAAGATTTATGGGGGACGCTTTTGCTTCACAGACACAGCCATAGTGCCTGATGATCCACAGAGTCAAAAACAGCTTTCAGATCAAGAAAAACAACCTTTGTTGGTTGCTGGAAGCAGTGTCGCTGTTCCAGAATCTGTCGGAGGGTGAATATATGGTCGGTGCAACCTCTTGCTGTACGGAATCCAGCTTGGTTTTCACGGATCTGTCTCTCCCTGTGTTCAGTCAACCTTCGAAGGATGAGGCCAGAGGGCGCCTTCGATGCAGGCTGATGTCACGGTGGTTTTCGCAGTGTCCGCGTACCCTTTTTGAAGATAGGGATAACTGTTGACGCGCCCCATTCAGCGGGCACCTTTTAGTTCCATAGAGCACCAATAAGATTTATCAGATGGATCGTCAGGGATTTTCCACCTTCGATGGGGGCTGGATACCGACCTTCCGGTCCTGATGCCTTCTCACGTTTCAGTACGGATATTTGGTATATTATTTTTTCCGAGGGGCTATCAAAGTTTACATTCAATTCGCCTGCGTGGTCGAAACCAAGTGGTGTGCCACAGAAGGAACGGCAGTCTTGAATTGTGGCTGTCCACCGGTGGCTGATGACCATGTGGTCCAACTGAGTCCACGGTTGACTTGCAGTTGGTGGCCTCCAGGCTACGCGATGCGAACCTTTCTGTTGAAAGTTCGTAGTTGATCATTCTTTTACTCTCTTCGTCAGCACACAACTGAATGAGTTGATATCCGTCGTCTGTTTGGTGAGGACTGGTAGTCCGGAATTGAGGCAGCAGGTGGCCAACTGAATTGCTATTCAAAGAACTGTCCAGCGGTCCAAACGTTCTCCTGTGCTGGACATCAGAGACTCATTCTAGTACCCGACAGCTTCGCTGACAAGCGCCTTCCGAGAACCAGTCGAACGAATCTAGTGGAATAAATTGCGGATGTTTCCAGCATTTTATGCCTCCTATTTCTTCGGCCTTCCTGGTTCACCAAGCTGACCGGTTTGCACGGACATTCAGGTTCACCTGGCGTCGCATCGGTTGGTGGTCGCAGACGAGAAGAATCTGTCGCCAGGCCTCCAGCAAAGTTACGGTCCTGTCAGAGGTCCAGTGAATTAGGTTGGCTGGGTTGGACCACAAACGGAAGTTCCGGCTTTGAGTAGCGATTTGGTTATCTGTTCTCCGAGACCGTTTATATCCGATTCGAGCAATCCGGAAGGTGTTCGGGAGCTAGTTTTGTTTGACTCCTGAGTCCGCTAGCTTTTAAATGGCTAAGCGAGATGTGAGCTGTGCGTGTATTCCGTAGACCAGAGAAGTGGAATGAAAAGAATCAGCGGACAAGTGCATGGTCAGAGTCCACGCTGGTACTCCAGAAGGAGCGGCAGGCATTGATCGATCCTCGTCACCGGTAAACGATGGTAATGTGATCTATTTATATTTGGGACTGGTATGTTGCTGGGCACCGCTTTGTCAAGCGATTTCCGCTGTTACGGGAAATGGCACTGCAAAAGGACAGTCTGTGATCAGCACACGTCGAAGTAGACGGACTCCCTCGTCCGTGTGTCTCGTATCCAATTGAACCCCAGCAGTGTTCAGTGTGCCTACCTAGGTGTTATGTCACCAGCAACAGGAACAATGTTCGAGCTTTTAGCCCGTAGTAAAGAGTACATACAGAGCCACAGAAACGGTCTTTGGCAGCTCCAGAACTACAGTCAATCGGGGCAGACAGTAAACAGACAGTAAACAGGATGCTGGTCACCTTACTATTTTGAGATAGTTTCACAAGCGTTTTCAAACGAACCGTGCAGACGCAACCATCAGCGAGTATCCAATCAAGTAGAGACGCTTCCGCTTGGTCCCTGAGTACAATGCATACCCCGCCATATCCAGCTACTGTGGCCTCTACGTAGGCGGAACCTGGAAGAGGGCAAAAATGTGGTCAATTCGTCCTGAGTCCTGGATCCTTGTTTCCAACAGACAGCTTCTGTTTACTTTTCACCATATAGCATGTGTAGGTTTGCCCGGATAGTTTTATGGACTGGTCTCTTGGCCTTCAAATGCAGGGATACTATTCAAGCTGTCCATGCGTTGGAGTCAAGGGATCCGGTTGTTGTCCCTAGAATTTAAAATGAGTGTTCCCAACACCCTTCTTCGCTTTCTTAGCAAACCAGAAAGCTTCAGGCACTTTTTTGAGTCTGGCCTTTCGGTGTTTTTTTTTTCAACAACCAATTTTTGGGGTTCATATAACCAGACTTAAGTCAAAGAGTGCCGAGGTCAGCCATCGCCGAATTATTGGAGCTAGTGGCCGCGAGATGATAGGTGTCAAGCTTATACCGCTCTGGTTGAGACAGTCGCTCTAGGCAGTTCTTCTAAGAAA